TGAACATATCAGAGTCTGAAAAGGCAGTCCCCACCATTCAGTATAAAGGGGTATTCTGGGGTGTACTCCGTCTTGTACAGCTGGCTGGAGAGACTACCCAGTGCCCTGGAGCCCCACCAATCTATGTCCCCTTGGGGACCCATGTCCACTTAGGGTCTGGGCAACAACCCCAGTCTTTCTAACACCTAGAAGTAAGAGATCGGGACAATGCCTCTAAGAACTCAACTCCCCCACCCCCTGCCCCTCGCCCCCCTTCACCCAATCACACAGCATACCCGGGAGTACTGCAGCTTGTCCACAATGTCGTCACTAGTGAGGGGGATTAGTCCTGGAAGAAACAAAGAAGCACTTTAATTAAGTCCAAATGGCCAAGCGAGAAGGAGAACCTAGAAATCCCCTTGGGAGTGAGGAGGCTTCCTCCTCTGATACCAAGCACAGTCCCCTCCCTTTCACCTTCCAAAACTCGCACTATGGGGCACCTGGGTGGCTCAGTGGGTTAAGCCTCTGCCTTTGGCTCAGGTCATGATCCTGGTGCTGGGAATGAGCCCCGCATCAGGCTCTCTGCTCATTGGGGAGCCTGCTCCTCCCCCTTACCCCGCCTGCCTCTCTACCTACTTGTGATCTCTGTCAAATAAATATATAAAACCTTAAAAAAAAATAAAATAATATTAAAAAAAAAACAAAAACAAAAGCAAAAACAAAAATCTGGTACTCACCAAGTCTGTGAGCAATGAACTCATCGTGAAGGACTGAGGAATTGGCATCAATCTGAACCCAGTCAATGGCTAAGAAATAAAACAGACATACAGTTTAGCCACCAAATTCACTTAAAGACTTACAGCAGTGGTTCAAGATTTAAGAAACACCTGATGCTTACTAAATCGCAGAAGCGTGGGCCAGGTTGCCAAAGGCTGATTCTGCAGCTCAAGTGGGGACCAGGGATCTGCATTTTAACAAGAACCACATGCAACACCCTCCCCTCTTCCCTACTCAGGCAGATTTAATGCAGGGGAGGCCTCTTTCCCACACAAAATACTGACTTAGAAAATACCCATGAGAGTGGGAACATGTTTCTCTGAACTGAGTATCTCTGTGAGAAGCGTTTACGTCTGCTATTCATGTCAACACCAAATCCAAGAACAGGGAAAATCTCAAAGACAGGGAAAATCTCAAAGACAGACTTATGGTCCATATCTCATTTTATGATGCAATGACCAGATTACCCAACTGTAACACTTTATTGTCACTCAACCAACTAATGTTTAGAGAATTCCTTTAATGGGCACAGTACGTGGAGTATCAAACCGAATTCTTACCAGCAATGACTAAAAGAAGGGTAAGAATTGTACGGTCACACACGCTTGACTTAAGCACATACTCATTCATTCATTCATTCATTCATTCACAAATAAACATCTGCATTCAGACAAATTCATAAATCAAATGGCCAACCACCAAAGGGCGTGGACACTAGGAATGGAAGAAGTCAGAAGAGGACCAGCCAGTTAGGACCCTATCTGCTTTGTCCTATGCTTTTTACTGCTTCCCCAACCCAAGCCAAAGGACCATGAGCCAAGCATTTCTGACTCTGCCTCCTCATTCCCTCCAAGCCCCTCCCCCAATCTCACATGCCCTGATCCTCTCCCTTGCAGGTAAAATCCTCTGAGCCTCCTATAAAGCTTTGCTTGATCTCCAAGATACAGATACCAACACTCCCTCCCTACAAGCTCCTCCCTCACAAAACTGTCCAGACTAAAGACACTTATCATATATACAGATATCTTTTAAAGATTTGTTTTTGAGAGAGATGGAACGAGTGTGGGAGGGGCAGAAGGAGATTCCACACTGAGCTCAGAGCCTGATGCAAGATTTGATCTCACAACCATAAGTTCATGACCTGAGCCAAAAATCAAGAGACCGGGGGCGGGGGGGGGGGGGGGGGGGGGGCGGTGGAGCACCTGGGTGGCTCAGTGGGTTAAGCCTCTGCCTTCGGCTCAGGTCATGATCTCAGGGTCCTGGGATTTAGCCCCGCGCATCAGGCTCACTGCTCCTCGGGGAACCTGCTTCTACCTCTCCCTGCCTGCTGCACCCCTGCTTGAGTGCTCTGTCAAATAAATAAAATCTTAAAAAAAAAAAAAGTAACAACAACAAAAAAAAAAGATCGACTCCCTTATTTTACTCATGATGAAACTGTGGCACAGAAACAAAGTGATTAGGGAGGGGGAGGACCAGCACTCTAAGCTCTAAGTGAAGAAGTGACTGGACACGCGTAGCGGTGGAGACTAGTGTTTTGTTCACCAATCCTTTGGCGTGCTTACTTCCTTAGGAGTGCAGCAGATAGGAATTACACTTCTTTTTCCAATCCAAACTCTGAGCGGACACTCAGAAAATGTAACATACTTATAAATGTGAAAAATACCTGGGGCAGGGTGGCTGGAAGCACAGCAGATCCTCCTTCCTCTGGGCACAGCAACAGCACTGTGGTTCTACTTTTGAACTACTTACTGATCCACGTCTATCCCGCAGTACTGTTATCTGTGGATTCGCCTTTGCCCTGTAACTGTACTGTGCGCTCCATGAGGGCCAGAACCCTGCACTATTTAGCTCTGCATTCCCAGTTCCCAGCACACTGCCTAGCACTTACATGTTCCGTGAGTGCAGCTGAAGGAACGGGCTCGTAAAAGGAACTTACTGGGCACTAAACACAAATTCCCTCACTTAATCCTTGCCATCACTCCGTAAGTACTACCAATGTTCCAACGTTACAGAGAAAACCACAGCAATTTAAGAGTGGGCCCTAGTGTCCCTGAGCCAAGGGTACAACACTGCTGTCTTCTCAGAGCCCCTCCCAGCTACCCCCGCCCCCAACCAAGCGCTAGGAGCAGGATCCCCAAGGTGTGCGGAGGGATCTAGCCACCACAGGCGGGTTTTACTTACCTATTATGGGCACCTCGGCGATGAAGACCCTTCGTATAGAGTTGGCTACCCTGAGGGATGAAAACCAAGCGGCATGAAGGCGCCGCATCTTGGACGCCGATGCCCCGCGCCCACGGTTTCCCAAAGCGGGAGCCCCACTACGGGGACCCAGCTCAGAAAGGACGCGACCCCCCGCCCGGCCCGGGCTCCAGCCCCGCGCGTCCCACAGCCACCAGCCTCTTTTCTCAGAGGTCTTACGCCAGGTCCGTGTTCTCGATGATGAACTTGACATTCTCATCGGTGAGCTCCGTGATCCGCACAGTGGGCTGGTTGGCATACGGCATCGTGCCTCACGACCCACCAGCTCCCGGGTTTCAGTGGCGCTGCGCCAAGGCCACCGCCGCCGCCGGAAGTGGGTCAGCGCGGGCCGCGCCGCTTCCGCCGACACGCGCTCACAGCGCCACCTGCCGCCCGGAGGCCGCCGCTTCAGACCCCATGTTTTACACTTCCACCTGCTTTTTAAGCGCACCAGGTTCAACCTGGGGTGGGTGGGTGGAGGTGGGGGGGCGGTGCGGGGGCAGTGGGAATTGGCAAAACCTGTGCACGCCCTCGACTCAATAATAACATTTCTAGGAATTCATTCTACGAAAACGGCTGCAGTTGTAAGCAAAGATACACGTGCGGGGGCGTTCCCTGCATCACTGTAACAAAGATAACAAAACTAATTGTTTATTGACAGAGAGCAGGTTAAATATAGGAAACATATTACCACGCCTTTAAGAAAATGAAGTAAATTTGCACACTTACGGAAGAACATAAGTATGCTTCAGCAAAGTCTGGCTCACACCCTCCTGAAACTGCGGGAAGATACAAGGCCTTCCCCTTCAGTCCATCATCAGCATCTGTGTGGTTGCGGCAGGTGGGTGGGGGCTCATCTCCGCATCCCCGGCACTGTGCCCCTCATCAGTGGATGCTCAGTAGAGATTACTAAAGCCCCCCCTCCCCCAACTGTGTAGAGAAAGGTTTGAATGGGCAGCTGCTCCTAACAGAGAAGAGGCTCTAAAATAGAACTTAGCAGGAGCTACATTTAAGGGGCAAAAGAGTAAGAGAGGAGATGAAGAGTTTGCCTTAGCTGGGGGTGACCCTCTTCCTGAGACAGACAGAACTGGCACTGAGGGGGCGTGTGCTTCCCGGCATCTCAGGAATTTAAGGATTAAGGCTGCCTGCTGAATGCAAGAAGAATGCTATGAAGGAGAGAATGGGATAAAATTTGGAATAGCCACTGTAGGGGACTTGACAGGAAGTCATGATACAAAGAATTAAAGAGGTACAAAAAGGGGCGGGTGGAAGGCCAAAGGACTGGAAACAACTATTAGCTAGTGACTTCCCCCCTCAGTACCCCATCAACTTAAGTCGGACATGGCAATGCAGAAGACAGATGCTCTGGACAAAATTGTATTCCTCTTAAATGTTGAAGCCTAACGCCCAATGTGGTATTTGGAGACAGAGTCTCTAGGAGGTCAGGAGGGTGGGAAGGGTGCCTTGATAAGAACAGGAGGAGACACTGGAGCTCACTCACTCTCTGCCCTGTTAGAACACAGAGAAAACGTGGCATGTCAGAAAGACTTCACCAGGAACTGGATGGCACCTTGATCTTGGACTTCCCAGCCTCCAAAACTATGAGAAACAAATGTCTCCTGTTAAGTCATCCCATCTATGGTATTTTGTTATAGTAGCTCAAGAAGACTAAACAGAGTTAACCAGACTTGCAAAGGGAACTCAGCCAGTATAGGGAGAGAGAAAATCATTAATGCTAAAGGACAGAGCACCGAAATGATTAGTGATAGGAAACAGCAGCCAAGGGAGCTAACAGTGCAGGGAAGGCCACCATCACCCACACTTCTAGAAGGGAAGCTGGGCCCAGAGAGGCAGAGCTGCCATAACCACCCCCTGGTAGAAGTCCTCCCAAAGACCGGAGCCCAGGTATCCTGGCTGCAAGCCTCAAGTCTTTCCGGCCTCACTGCTGTCCTTGCTCTGGGGTCCTGGATACCTGCTGTGGCCCACATGGAAACTGCCAACATGAAACTGCTTCAAACATATTTATTACTATTTTTACACTCTTAAGTTCACTAATAACCCTGCCACACGAGCTGGTGTAATGTGACAGCGGGCCTGGGTTCCCACCTCTGGCCGAGCTGAGCACCGCTGTCCAGAGGCACTGGTCTCAGGTGTGGCAGCTTTCTGACGGGTTCCCAGGTGCAGCATCTCAGATACCAGCGAGGAGAGCGGTGCGAGGACCACCTATGTGCACAAGTCTGTGCTGTGCCGGGGGTGGCCAGCCACCTTGTACTGGTTCCACACCACGACTCTGATCTGGGAGCCCCAGAGAACACTCCAGGAAGGTTAAGACGTGATCAAGGAATCCGTGAGACCATGACAGGGACGTGCTGGGTTTCTGTGGCTCGAAGGCTTGGATGAGAGCTTCATTTTCCAATCACACAGCTGCAACGCAGAAAGGCATCAAAAGGCCTGGCCTGGTATTCGGAACTGAGGAGGTGGCCCAATGGCAGGCTACAGCAGCAGCGAGAGCCTGGGTGGCAGTCGCAGTGACTAAGGAGTCCTTCAGTGTCTTCCCATTAACACCCTGTTCCGTGGATGGCACTTCTTATTTTCCAAAGCCCTTTCAATGTATCCGTAGCTTTTCTTCTGGGCACTCTAGCTCACACCCCGTGATGCTCACCGGCGCTGGTTCAGACCTGTCAAGTTCTTGAGCTGATACAGGGCAGAAAAGGGAAGGATGAGGCCTTGCCCTGTCCCTAGGACTCCCGTGGGAAAGACTGGGATTTTCAAGGTGGCAGGCATGGCTGAGACCCAGAGATCTGACATGCCAGGGACCTGGGAGTCAACCATGATTTTTAATGGCAGCAAAAAAAGGAGATGGGGAATTTGGGATCAGAGACTAGGGCTGAACACTCTTAGTTTTATTAGTAGCTTTCCGGTATAAAGCTTTTCGGACCCTTGACACATGTTGTAAGGACCACAGGGCAGGAGTGGAACAGGGGGAGGGCAGGCGGGAGTGGGGCAGTACTCACCGTCACTGCTGCACCCATGAGTCCCTGCACCAGTGCCTCTCCAGTGGACTTTACCTAGAAGTCAGGGTCAGGTTCTCTTAAGTCCCCCACACAAGCTCAAAGGTCAAACAGGCAGGACAAATCAGGGGGGACTCATGAGGACCCTGTGGACTGGAGGAAGAGCCTACGGACACAACCACAAGTGGTCCAAGTGTGGCTCTTAGGGAAGGGCTGGTATGAGGAAGAGCCAGCCCGACTCCCTGGGCAGGCCCTCAGGACTGTCCTCTGAGGCCAAAGGGGAGCAAAAGGACAGGAGACCAGCTGTGGCTTGAGGAGGGTGGTGTCCCTAAAGAGGTGGCTTCCCAAAGGCTAGCCCCTACTACCTGCTTGGCGGTGTGGCCCATGTTCATTGCGTCATTAATCCGGTTATCCAAGAAGCGCCAAGTGTCCTCAAAGTCTGGGGAGGAGTCCTGCATCATCACCAGCTCTGTCGTGTTATAGATGCCAGCCAGCACAGCTCGCCGGGTATACCAGTTAAACTGCAGAGAAAGGCGGGTCACCATTATTGCTGTGGACTGGGGGAAGTCTGGGGTGGCTCCTACCCAAAGCCACAGGCTCATGTGGGCTCCCTCCTGATCCCTTCTTTCCGCCAAAGATACATTTGTCCTCCCTGGATAACATTACTATTCTCAAACTTGGCTGGGCATCAAAATTACCCGGGAGATTAAAATGCAAGCTCCTGGGCCCAACCTCCTAGAGCTTAAGAGTCAGGGGGTCTGAAGAAAGTGCAAGGAGTTGGATGTCTGATAAGCATCCCAGGTGATTTTTGCTATAGCCAGTCCATTTTGAAACTGTTGGTGAAAAGACTAAGTCTCAGGCCACCTAAACGCTGGAGAGGCTCTATGGTTAGCCAATTACGAGCACACTGCGGTGTGTTTATCAATCATGTGAGGGCGGAGACGACTGAGGACAGATCAGAGCACCTGGGCTGAGCTGAGGGTTCCGGTCCCTTGGCCACTCAGGCTGGCCCAGCAAACTGCTCTTTGCGTACTAGCTCAGCTACTTCGTGTTTTATTCCTTTAATTTCTCGGGTTTCTAATTTCATTTTCTCACCACTCTGTTGGTGGTTGTACTCCCACGCGGGGGAAGCTTATTAAAGTTCTTTGTTAGAACTGTGGCAGGAGTATTTCTTTGTCTCCCCAGCCTAGATTCCACAAGGCACCATCACAAATTAATTTCATCTATGAAGGTATACTTTTTATTTTTTAATTTCCTACCAGAAATATGATAGCATTAGCAAGTCAGATTCTTTCTTAGTGCCTATTTAAAGGTTTACTGATCTCTTAGCAAAGCAGGCCAAAGTGGCCTGGGGGAGGGAGTTTCTTTTCAAAGTAATGGATGGCTCCATGGCATTCTTTTTTTTTTTTTTTTTTAGGTAGGCTCCATGCCTAGCATGGAGATCTCATAACTCTGAGATCAAAACTCAAGGTGAAATCAAGAGTTGGACATCTAACTGACTGAGCCATCTAGGCACCGCCCCCCCTTTTTTTACTCAATCTCATGCAAGATACACACTGAGAAAGCCCACTGCAGAATCTGAATCTTAGGAGAAAATGTTTATAAAATGGCAGCCTAATCACCACTGGGGTCAGAGGGAACAACTGCTTATTTGTGGCTAGAGTGCTGGCCCTTGGGTGAGGACCTGGCTCCCACTGTGGCTTGTGGAGGGACCTTCTCCACCTCTAGCTTCTCCTTCCCTAGACAGGAATAGTACCGCAGGCCCCCGAAGGGATCTGTGATCAAAGAACTTTCATAAACCTCCTGAAGAAATGCTTAACCCAAACCTTTCCTGGTACCCAGTAGGTTTGCAGAAAGCACTCACGTCAGTGGACTGGTCCCCAGCGTAGTGCCACATGTCATCCACCATACTGGTGAGCAGGCTGAGGCTGGATGGGATATTGTGAGGAAACATGAGGATGCTGAGGGCCTGAACACAGAAGGACAAAGAAATAGGACACAGGAACGACAGCGCGCAGGCGGGAGGGTGCCTCACCCCTCCATGGAGGTGTGTAAAAGGGCCTGCCCAACTCTCCTGCTGATGCCCACCATCTCTACCCAGCTGGTGTGAGCTCCTGGCAGTTGACCAGCCTGGCTACGGCTGATGGGAGCCAGGGGCAGATCCTACCCTCAGCTGGCCGGCTCAGCTTCTCCATCCCCAGCACATGGCCTTGGAAAGGCCAGCAGCCAGAGGGTGTAGCCTGGTCTAACAGCCCTGAGAGCAAAGATGAGGGAGGGCACCCCATTCTATAACATGGAGGAAGAGGCAGAGATGGGAGAAGGGTCCAGGTGGTTTCTAGGTCCAAATGCCAGGCCATTGCCAGGGCCCAGCAGCATTCCCGTCCTCAAAGCCCCACCACAGCTTCTCTGGTGTTTTGCTTAACTCAAGTTGGTTTCTCATACCTGAAACCAAAAATCCTTCAACTCATACAAGAAATGGCACCACCCAGAGCTGCTTCCTTAGCAGATATAACTCCTGAGGACAAGGTCTTATCACTTTACCAACTCAAAAATCCACTGGCTGTGGCCTATGGAGGAGCTAGTCAGAGGCCCTGGATTGGCTGGAAAGTTTTCTCGTATTGAAGGAGCCCACAAGAAAAATATGCTGAATCAGAAGGAGCTGGGGCCCAATCCGGACTCCCACTGCTTTAACTGCAAGGTGGAATGAGTCAAGGCCAGAGGTCTGAAGATCAAGTGTGGCAGGCACACGCAGGGGATGGGAGTTGACTCACTGTACTCCCTCCACACAGAGCCCGGGTTAGGCACAGGTGTTCTCATGCCTGTTCACTGACTGAATGACACCACGGGCTCAGTGGTACCCCAGCTGGGTGGGCGACACAAGATGATCTTGGCTGTCCTCTTATCCCTGATGTGCTTGGACTCCATTTTCTTAACTAAGAGCATGGTCCATTCGGTAACATGCTTGGAAACCAGAAAAAGGAAGCTTCCGAGAAGGGGATAAAAAGCCCTTGGAATGATACTCTAATTCTCAAGCACCACGTGGACAGCTGGCGAAGCCATCCCAGTCCTCTGACATCCAGAACACCTCAGGCCTGTTAATGGCGATGGCCAAGAAACTCCTCTCGTTTTCTAATCTCTGTCACGGATTCCTCCTCACTGAAGAGCTGGTGGCACGCTTGGGCCACCAGGACCCAGCATGGATGTGACCTAGTTCCCCGGGCTACTCACCTTTCTAGGTATCGAGACCCAGGTGTTCCTCCCTCTGGCACTCCCCAGTTTGCACTCCCTAGCTCTACCGAGTGCACTGAGAATCCCAGTATCCCCGGGTCTGTGCAGATGAACGAGCTAACTTCTGCAGAATGTGCAAGGTCCTCTGAAGGCTAGGCGCTGAGAACTAAGCCCATGAATACACTGTTACCCTGGGGCCTAGATATGGACACTGTACCCGGGGCCAGTGCTCAATGTACGGGATCAGCATTCTCAGTCTGGTTTCCACTGCGTCCCTCAGGAACTGGTCTGTCTTCCTCTTCCTGGAAGAGGGAAAAGAAAATAGTGTGTCTCCCGGTCAAAGGCATGGGCTCAGTGCTACACCACTTACTCGGCTCTGGGTTGGTGGGGGGCCCACTGGCCCCTGATGCTGGCCTATCACAGACGGGTGGCTGTGTTCCAGGCCCGTCCAAGCAGCAGGGCTGCTCCATGCTCCTCTCTTCTGGCTCTGCCTGGATTGGCCTTCTGGGGCAGACAGTGGGGCCTGAGCCTCCCCCCACCCTGATCCCTAGCTGCCACCCTGAGCAGACTTACTCTGCCTGGCCCAGCTGTACCAGCTTCTGCTCCTCTTCCAGCACTCGAACGAGCTTAGCATTGCACTGGGTCACAAAATGCAGGATCAGCTCACTGCCGTCATTCCCAAACATGCTGGCTGCCGCACTGGACAGACCCAGGGACTACAACAGGAGACAGGGAAAACAGGAGAGTGGTAGACAGATGTAGTGGACCTGTGCTGCCTATTCCTTACTATTGCCTCTTTTTCTAGCAACAGCAGATTGATTCTTAATGGGCTAACTCTACTCTTCGTTCTTGGTCCCTGTGGTTTGGGTGAAGCTGATCAGAAGTTCCTCCATGCTCCATCAAGCCCCCTGGTGTACGGTAAAGTGTGAGGTCCAGGCTTGGACAGCTGGAGTTCACAGCGACTAGCTCAGGGACCTGCCAGGACCCAACCCAGGCCCTAAGAGGCTGCCTCTGGGCTTCTGCTAGGGCTGATGGGAAAGAAGTGCTCCCTTTCCACTGGGGCTGCTGAACCATTTTTAGTCCTGCATGGGAAGCCCCTGCTGAGAATGAAGATCACAGAGAGGAAAGCAAAAGAGACAGGACAGAGAGATGATTCCCAGCTGCACAATCCAAGAACACTGTGCCAGAACTACTTCCAGACTTTTCTGTTACTGGATGACCCCAAACACTCCCTTTCCTGCTAGAACTGAGCTCTGACACTAGTAACCTGGAGCCTGACACTCGTAACCTAATATAAAAAAAGGGGCTGGGAAGAGCACTCAGCAATTCCTCACCAGTTCACTTCACCTAAATCTCCTGGAAATTAGGCCTCTCGGTTATTAAAAAAAAACCAAAAACCAAAAAACATTTCTCTTAGTGAGTTATTAAGGAGTTAACAAAGCCACGAAGATCCTCAGCTCTTCCTGATATATGGCGATCATTGAGTGGCTACCAGAAGCAGAGCCCTGACAGCACCAGGGACAGAGGGCAGAGAAGGAACAAAAAAGATGATTCACTCCAGTCACCAGTGCTGGGAGTGGAGACAGAGCTCCTGCTGACCCAGCCTTCCCAGACCGCAGTATGGCCGGCTTCACAAGACACGTGCAGCGGCATCATCTCTAATGGGGACGTCCACTTACCACGTCAGGCGCTCCACTAAGAACGTGACGCACACCATCTCACTGTGGCCTCGCGGCAACACCCACTGCTGGGCCTTATCCTCACCCACATTTTACAGACCAGGAAACTGAGGCTCAGAACTCACCACCACCAGGCTATACTGCTTCTACTACATGGGTAACAAGAGGCTCAAAAATATGCACACTTGGGCACCTGGCCGGCTCAGAGGGTAGAGCATGCAACTCCTGATCTTGGGCTGTGGATTCAAGCCCCACGCCGGGTGCAGAGATTCCTTAAATAAACCAATATTTATACATACTCACACACCCATATCCACATGCACTCTGGACTAACACAGTGAGTTCACGTCTCAGCCCCAAGGCTGCCCTCAGCTTCGTGAGGCAGGGGCTGCAGCCCCACCAGCCACCCTCCCCGCCCGGTGCTAGGCAGGATCTGCAGAAGGATGGGGATGGGACTGCGAGGCAGGAAGAAGACTGCAAGGCTGAAGAGGAAAGAGGGACCTGGCAGGTCCGCTAGGGGCTCCCCTGGGCATCTCCCCAGCCGCACTTCTTCAACTCGGCAGCAGCGCCCTCTGGCGGCTCCGCAGGCCTGGTTCCAGGCAGCCACCACCCTCCCCTGCCCCGAGGGACCCTCTGTCCCAGTTCCCAGAGGGCAGCACTAGCCGCAGCCCAGGAGGCCTGAGTTCTGCCTCCACAGGGGCTCTCCTTCAAGCTTCTCCTTTTAACAATTCCACTTTCTCCCCCTGTCCCCTTAGCCCTGGAGATGGGAGCCACTTCCTGCAGCGGCAGCCTGCATAACACCCTAGAAGGCGCTTACACTGCCAGTGGCCCAGTTACCAACCTTCCACCTAGCTCATCACTCTTTGTATTAAATTCTCTCTATCTGGGGGCTCCTGGGTGGCTCACTCATTAAGCATCTGCCTTCAGCTCAAGTCATGATCCTGGGGTCCTGGGACCGAGCCCCACATCGGGCTCCCTGCTCAGCGGGAAGCCTGCTTCTCCCTCTCCCACTCCCCCTGCTTGTGTTCCCTCTCTCGCTGTGTCTCTGTCAAATAATTAAGAAAAAAAAAAAAAAAACTTTAAGAAAAAAAAATTCTCTCTATGTAAATAACTTAACTGACAGTCTCTGTCCCCTGAGGGATACGCTCCCTGAAACTGCAACTCCACTTCTCCAAATGCACTTAAATGTGTTGCACAAATAGGTTTAGAATACTAAAAAATCGGAAACAACTCAAATGTTTATCAGATGAGATCAAGTAAACACCAAGGGTATTATGCAGCCACTACGAACGAGGAGATAGAGTAAAAAAAGACCAGTCACCTGCAGCATAATTCAGTATCTTTCCAAACAATCCTGGTACGTTTCTCTCCTCTGCTTGTTCCACCACTTCCTGTAACGATTCTTTCAAATGTTCTCCGCCACCCTCAAATCTCTGTCTCCTCCTACCCTTTCCTAACTTCAGGTTCATGAGACAACCACACCTGCTTCCCAGAGAACAGAAGCTGTCTCCGGGGAACTCCCTTAATATTCCAGAAACTAAACCTGCAGCTGTCTTCTCCAACCTCACCCCAATACACCTAAGACTGTCTTCCCACTCATTTTCTGGATCTCCTAGTTCCTGTCTTCAACGGACTTTGTACTTTTCTTTTGCCACTTTCTCTCGTACTTTTACCTCACCCTTGTTTCTGGGTTCTTCTGGCCAGTGTTCAAGCATGCTCACCCTTCCATCCCATTTCCCCTGCAAGCTTGAGACAGGAGAAGTGAATCTGGAGTTCCTCTGCTCACTGCTCTCACAGAGCTCTTGCAGGGCAGTATGTGGCCCCGCCGGACAATTCTGTATACTGCGGCCTCAGCACAAGCCTGCGGCTTAACCTAGAGCAGCTACCTGTTCCTGTGCAGGAGGCATGTACTGAGAAAAATCAGGCGAGTTGGTCTCCTAAACGGTGCCTTCTGGAGAGTTTTCAAACAACCGATTTCATCAGTTCTAAGATGTACCTATTTTATCATTTCTTTCAAGATTTTTATTTTTATTTTGAAGTAACCTCAACACCCAACATGGGGCTCAAACTCACAACCCCAAGACCAAGAGCTGCACAGGCTCTACCAAATGAGCCAGCCAGGTGCCCCCGTTTTTTATTTTGTTTAAAGATTTATTTATTCATTTAAGGGGGGCAGGGGGAGGGGCAAAGGGGGAAGGAGGGAATCTCAAGCAGACTCCTGGCTCAGTGGGGAGCCTGACTCAGGCTCAATCTCACAACCCCAAGACCATGACCTGAGCTGAAATGAAGAGCTGGCTGTTTAACCAACTGAGACACCCCACTGCCCCATTTTTTTCAGTTTAAACAATCAGTGTGAATTATACACCTGACATGTCCTAAGTAGCATTTTCCCTTTTTCAGCGATGCATACTATAATGGTGCTTCTTACAACCACTGACGTCTTAGACTCAAAGAAATGTGGTAGTTGTGATCACTGGCAACGCTTCCCTAGTGCGCTGCCTTTAGAACTTAGTTCACAAGAACCAACTCTACAGTATGATCTTTCTGTACTAAAAAATAAAACCATTTCACCCTACTGGGGAAAAAAGCCTCCCCTCGCAAAATCCTGGAACAGCGAGGGGCTCAAAGCTGGGCCGGAAGTAAGCACGAGGCCGTCTGCTCAGGCTGATCCCAGCCAGGCCACCCCACCCTGTCCCCTACACACCTGGGCTCCTTCTGCGATGGCCTCTGCTGTCCACCCGTGCGCAGGCACAAAGTCCAGGGCTGCCGTCAGGATGCGGTGCTGCAGCTGCTCCTCGCTCTCATGGTCCTCCTCCTCCTCACCGCCCTGATCTGTGTACCTGAGACCCACACGCAACAGAGATGTGGCGACGGAGCCCAGCACACCTCATCTCCCCGCCTCCTGCGGGACAGGCAAAATGTGCCTGACCAGAAGCCGGAGGCTCAGTGCCTCCTCTGAGCATGTGTCGGGAAGACATTTACTTCTGTGCCAGTATTGCTATTTCCACGCCAATGGGACAAAGTGATATTGTCTTTCTCTTCTCATCTAATCACTGAGCGAGGGGATCCAGGGAGCAAGGAGGCCAGGTCACAGGAAGGCAAATGCCCTTAGCACTCTGGATTTCTCTGTTCATAGCCCTCAGCACACTGCTTCTTTATCTGTATTGGTATCAAATGATAACTCCAGGGCCTAGCATAAAGTAGATCTTAAAAAACATATTTGCTGAATTGAAATAAAAGGTCTTTTAATTAGGAGACCAGAAAAATGACAGGAACACCCTAATTTCAGAGCTAGAGGAACTTCTCAGTGGCAGGATTAAGAAGAAAAAACAGGCAATGGAAATGTAAACTATTATCACCTTCCTGGATGGCGACTTGGCCCCAAGTATGTAACAAAATCCTAAATGTGCAAGTCCTTTGAGTCAATGCTCTCACTGCTGAGAGATAATCACATTATTTTTTTATACCAGTGAAGGAAATCTAAATATTCATCAATAAAAGATAGGTCACGAAATTTTATTTTTTAATTTTTAAAGAGATTTTATTTATTTATTTGACAGACAGAGATCACAAGCAGGCAGAGAGGCAGGCAGAGAGAGAGGGGGAAGCAGGCTCCCCGCTGAGCAGAGAGCCCAATGCGGGGCTCGATCCCAGGACCCCGGGATCATGACCTGAGCTGAAGATAGAGGCTTTAACCCACTGAGCCACCCAGGCACCCCAGGTTAAGTAAATTTTAATACTGCCATACCACTGGAATATTATGCAACCATTACAGTCATACAGACTGAGAAAACATTAAAAATGTACTGTTGAGTGAAAAAGCAGCTTCTGGAACAGCACGTATAGTGTAATTACTTACTTACTATATATAGATTTATGTATGGAATATACTTAGAAAAACGTCTAAAAGGATATTCACGAAAACATTAGTTATTTCTGGGTTTGTGGTATCTGGTCATTTTTGCTTCATTTTTCTGAACTTCTTTGTATTGTTTAGATATTTTAGAATGAACAGGCACAATTTTTCCCAAAAAACCCATAGATTCCTTTCACAGCAAACCTCAAAAATGATAGAAGGTGAAAAGGGGGATAAAAAGAAGAGCGGAAGGAGAGATAGGACAGACATACCCGAGCACGCAAAATGGCCAGAAATGGATGAATGGGGGTTCTGGTGCATACCTGGGAGGGGAACGAGAAGATTCTGGATTGGGTTCTTCTGCCTCGTGTGTCTCAGAATGTTGCTGAGAAAAAGATGGGGGAGGTGGTTGTTTCTGCTCATCTGGAGTCTTTAGCTGCATGGCTGAAGCATGGAAGGCGCGTGACACCACAGCTGATTGGCAACGGGACACTGAAATAAACACTGGGCTGGTCAGTCAGGGACACTTACCAGAGAAGACTCTTTGAAACTCAGAATAGTGCGAGGGATGGGGGAGAGGAAAAGCAGGGCTGAGTCTACTCCAGTGCCACTTATCCAACTGCTGAGTTCCAGGCAAAAATTTTGGGTAAGTTGGCAACCTTGTGGTATGATTTGGGGGCAAAAGCATGAGCCAGGTAACTGAAGACCTGGCTTTTGGGCCTGCTGCTATCATTTGTTAACTTTTTTTTTTTTTTTTAAGATTTTTTTATCTATTAATCTGACAGACAGAGACCACAAGTAGGCAGAGAGGGGCAGGCAGAGAGAGAGAGGAGGAAGCAGGCTCCCTGCTAAGCAGAGAGCCCGATGTGGGGCTCGATCCCAGGACCCTGGGATCATGAGCTGAGCCAAAGGCAGAGGCCTTAACCCACTGAGCTACCCAGGCACCCCCATTTGTTAACTATCTTAATGGACAAACCACTTCGCCCCAATGACCATGATTTTTAAATATGCAAAATAAGAGTAAAAATCTGTTTGCTCAACGGGAGTGTTGTGAAACCCAATCAAAAAGTGAAAGTGACCTAAAAATGTCACATATTTACATCATAGCAAGAGCACTGGACTAGAAATTAGAAGGTCTGAGTATTGGCTCCCATAGTGTTTATATGGTGTCATCAGACGGGTCATGCAGGACTTGAACTCACTACCCTGAGATCAAGACCTGGGCTGAGGGCACCTGGGTGGCTCAGTTGGTTAAGCGTCTGCCTTCGGCTCAGGTCATGATCCCAGAGTCCTGGGATGGAGTGCCACATTGGGCTCTCTGCTCATTGGGGAGTGTGCTTCTCCCTCTCATTCTCCCTGTGTTCTCCCCTCCCACGAAATAAATAAATGAAATCTTAAAAAAAAAAAAAAGGGGACCTGAGCTGGGATCAAGTCAGATGCCTAACTGACTGACCCACCCAGGTGCCCCTATTGTAAAAAAAAACCCATACAACAAGTTGAAAGAACTATGGCGTGAACACCTGTATATCTACCATCTAGGTTCTACAGATCTATCACACTCTTCATTCATCATTCCAGCTTAGTTTTTTTGAACCCAGCTTATTTTTGATGCATTTTGTTGCAGCCCTCAGTATTCCTCACTCTACACATTCTGGCATGCATACCATTAACCAGAGGTTCAATATTTATTTACTGTTCTTTTATTGAGGTGACAGTTATATAAAATGAAACACACAAATCTTAATTGTGCCAATTCTAAGTTTTGACAAAGGTATAGGTACTTGCATAACCTGAACCCCTATCTAGAGAATATTATCACCCCAGAAAGTTCCCTCATGCTCTTTCCAATCACTCCCCACTTACACTGTTCTGAAATTTTCACCGTAGTTTAACCAGTCCTACAATTTCATCTAAGTAGAATCATACAGTATATTTTTTGTGTAATAGAGTATATTTTTTGCAGTCTTTTTTAGATGGATTAGTAGTTCTGTGGAAATTCTTTTTATTGCTGAGCAGTATTCCAATAAGAAACACTATTCTGCTGATGAACACCTGGTTTGCTTCACCCTTGTCTTTCATGAACAAAGTTGCTATAAACATACTTCTGCAAACCTTTTGGTGGATATATGCTTTCATTTCTCTTGGGTAAATACCTAGGAGTGGCTTTACTGGGTCACAGGCATTACTTTAACTAAACATACGTAGTTTGGAGTTCTGTATAAAAACAATAATATTAATACTCATTTTTGTAAAAAAAAAAAAATCTGGACTAACTCAAGGAACAATGATCTTAAAAGAAATGCAGAACAGTTATGTGTAAAAATATCAATATTTTACTCTTTGTACAAAAAAATGGAACAAATACTGATAAAACTTTGAAAAGGAGGGGAGAAGTCCCCAAGCACAACTGTGGAACCACTGAGGTTCGCAAGAAGATTTCTGATGAAATGCAGGAAATTATAATTATTTCATTAGTTGTGTATTTATGCTAATGCGTCAATGTGTTCATTCTATTTATGGATAGTGACACTGGTTTTCCATTTACAGTAATAACATAAAGTAACCTCTTCTAAAGTAGACATCTATAGTTTTAAGAACTCGGATGTACAAACGAAAATACAGGTTCTGTTGTGGGAATAATCATAGAATTACTGAAGTGGTGAGAAGTAACTGACTTAGGAAACAATGGACTAGGAGCTCTTTGCCGCTGTTTCCCCCGAGTGGCCCTGCCCGGGGACTTGGCAACAGAGTTATTGAGACTGGGTCCGCGTCTACCAGTCTGCAACTGCCCAGCTGTGTGACCTTGGGCACCCACAGCCCTCTCTGGGGCTCCGTTAACTTCGCTAAATGGGAGTGACAGGCCCTGCTCCGCTACTCTTTGCCCCTCACAGCTCGAGAATCGGGGCAGAAATCATCCAGGCGACCCCTTCGAGAGCAGGACGCCGGCGAATCCGCGCCGATGCCCTTCACGTCACCTTGGTCGCGGGCCGCCACGACGACCTCTTCCGCCCCGCACCCAGCCCAGTCGGCTTCGTGCCCCCTCCCTCCCCCACCACGCTCCCCGGCTCGGCCGTCCCCTCACCCGGCAGGCACCGTAGCTGCAGGAGCCTCCAGCCCGCCCGGCCGAGCGCGCCGGACATCGCCGCCGCCGCCGCCGCCGCCGCCATCTTGGAAGCGGGCACGCTGCCGACTGTTACGCGGCTGGCAGCCCCAGGAGCTCGGTGAGGCCACTTCCGCCCTGCCCGCGCTCCCGCAGCCTTCTCTTCTCGCGAGAGGCGCGAGGTGCGAAGCCGGTGGCGCCGGAGAAGCCGGGAGCGAGCGAGTCCCGGGAGGCAGGTGAGCGTTGTGCGTGCGGCCCAGGAGCTCGATCTCCCCAACCGTCCCACCCTTATCCCTAGAACCTCATGTTTCCTATTCCCAGCCTCGTCTCTCAGTGAGCAGCGAACCATGACCACTTCCCTGGGGAGCACGACGGGCTTTTGCTCGGGGAAGCCGGTGTAGGGCACCGGCCGGCCCGGCGTGTCCCGTGCTCCTGGCGCTGTGGCTTCTTCCCCTTTCGGGACTGCCTCGTCTCCCGCGCTGCCGGCATCGATCTGAAACCCCGGAGACAGCTCGCTGATGGGGTAGAGCCTTGATGACCGGGGTCTGAGATCCGCTCCTGCTAATAGCCTGCCGTTGTGACCTTGGGCCTCAGTCCCTCGTCTCAAACACTGGGGGAGCTGAAGTCTCCGTCTTTGGGGGTATCTGAACTCCCAGGTTGTAATTTTGAGGCAGTGACTCACCAGACCCTCCAAAGTGTGGAGTTGGTGTTGTTAAATAACAAACTTTTAACCGGGTAACATGTAAAGATCTAGCTGGCTTTATGCAAGTATTCATGAATCCGGCAGCATCCCATCTAAGTAAAGAGGAGCTCCAAAGAGCTACAGGGAAAGAAGGGTTTTGTGTTTTTGTCGGTTTTTTTTTTAAGATTATTTATTTATTTATTTGACAGAGAGATCACAAGCGCAGAGGCAGGCAGAGGTGGGGGCGAGGGTGGGGAGGAGCAGGCTCCCTGTTGAGCAGAGAGCCCAACGAGGGGCTGGATCCCAGGACCCTGAGATCATGACCTGAAGCTGGAGGCAGAGGCTTAACTCACTGAGCCACCCAGGCACCCGGAGAAGGCTTTTTTTTAAAGGCAGAGAGGAGGTGAGACAGGGAAGTCATAAAGGGGAGAAAAGAGTTATATCAAGCAAGGTCACTTTCCTTTGGGGGACAGATGGGGGTCTGTTAGCCAGATTACCTTACTAATGCTGACCAGAAAATTTCAGGCTGACCACTTAAGATTACATTCCTGGAGAAAGTCGAAACTGCAGTTAGGTTAGGTCTTAGGTTCTGTGTGGTGATGATGTGGGCTTAGCACCACTGACTCCCATTTTGGGCCCGTTTTCCTCTTTTTAACAGTTTAACTGAAAATATCACAAACTTGCCAGATCAAAAGAACCATCTAGGATTTGTAGGTGATTTGTAGGGTCTGAAGTTTGAGAAAGGCTGGTGGTGTTCATTCTGACATTGAATGCTAATCTCAGTGACTCAGGGAGGTCATGGACTGGGCACTAAACTGAAAGTATAAATGCAGAGTGCCTCACTGTGATCTGTCATCAGGGAAGGCTTCCTATTAATACGGAGAACTAACTGGTTTGGGGATTAGGGATAACTGATGACAGAAGCTAAGCATGTCACTCCGTAAATTTTGTGTTTGCAGTTGGACCCTTGTCTTTGTGTCTGTTTTGCAAGCCCTTATCAACTCTAGTCTTTCCAAAACATCTTGCCCTCTCCTACCTCAGTTGCAGGGGAAGCCCTCCTAAACCAAAACTACTCCCCAAATGTGAAAATTCCAGATCCACATCTCTGGATTTCATTAAAACACTACTGAGCTGTCCATGAGGTTTTGTTTTGTGAGTTTTGTCCACCCATCTTCAGTTGAGCCTTTCCTGTGGAATTCTAGCTCTGGGGTGTCCTTCCTAAAACCCTCAGTTCTTGACAGACACACCTAATTGCCTGAAGACAGTCTTCCCTTTCTTTTTTTTTTAAACAGGTTTTGTTTTGTTTGTTTTGTTTTGTTTTAATATTTATCTGATAAAGACACAGTGAGAGAAAGAACACAAGCAGGGGGAATGGGAGAGGGGGAAACAGGCTCCTGCTGAGCAGGGAGCCTGACGTGGGGCTCAATCCCAGGACCCTGGGATCATGACCTGAGCTGAAGGCAGACGCTTAATGACTGAGCCACCCAGGCGCCCTTCCATTTCTTTTCCTTCAAGTTTCTTGTTTCCTTGCTGATGATCACTTTTTCCCGTGTGTGTGTGTGTGTGTGTGTGTGTGTGTGTGTGCGCGCGCGCGCGTGCGCACGCACACGCTTCAGCCAGTTCATTATACTTAAAATTCTCCTTTCTGATAGTGCTCAGTAGTCTCAGAATTTTTTTAGGCACCTGACTCAAGAAGATTTGATCCTTGGTTTGAACTGATATGTTAACTTCAGTCTTACTTATTTTTTTTTTTCCTTTTGGCCCTCTTCATCCTTGAGAGGAGCCAAATGCCTCAAGATTCGAGGTTTATTGGGTGCCTTGGAAATAAACAAGTGCATCTCCAGAAGATACTTGCAGACCTCTGCTTTCCCATGGGTATGTGTGTAGGGCAGTGAGCGCCGGAGAGGTTGTTAACAAACAAGGCCTGTGACAAGACAATGACGTCTTCAACTCCACTTCTTTCTAGATATGAAACTAGGCTATGAGTCACTCTTCTAAGTATGTTGACTCAGACGCCAGACATTTTTTTCCTTCTAGTTTTATTGCCAACACCACCAAACTCTGATGATGGACAGTGTCGTCCTTTGGCTTTTGGATACTTAGAAGAACATTGTCTCCAATTTTATTTGGAAAATGCTGACCAAGAGGGGTGGCTGTGTCTGTGTTTTGAGGGTTAATGTTTAATAAGTGCATTTTATGAGCTCCCTCTTGCCACAGAAGATTAGTTTGGGGTGGGGGGATGTGGAATGCGAGCCACTTTGCATTCTTCTAATGTACTGGCACAGTCCCATGGGACCAGTGTCTACGACGTCATAAAATACAGCTCTTATACTGTGTAATTCTAACAATGAAAAGGAAGCTTCACATCTCTGCCTAGGGAGTCCTCAGCAGGCATGGCTGAGGAGAGAGAATAGGTTTTATAGGGACTCTTTGAAGCAGAGGCAAATAAGCTGGCCACCAAGAACTAAGAGTTCCCTTAGAATATCCATTCCTTGATAAGAAAAGAAGAGAACAGCAGACCCATGGTTGACAATCCAGTGGTAGCTAGAAGCCCAGTTCATCTGTATTCAAAACCCGTGCTCAGTAAAACAGCCTCCATTAAGGTTGCTGGAAAGGTCTAGACACCTGGCATTTTGTTTTTCTCTGGCTAACAGCTAACCTTTTGGTCCTTTCTTTCATGATGGTTTTTCTATGAGTACCTGTGAGTACAGTGCAAGGTTGTAGTTGGTGGTGGTAGGCCAGGAGCCTATCCCTTTCTATTGTCCTGGGCGAACCTGTGTCAATATCATTCTAGAAACAGGTCCTTTATTTCTTATAACTTAATGCCCAGCAATCCATATTCCTGTTGATTCGTAAATGGGACATTGATCCCAAGTTGCCTACCTGAAAGATTGGTGAGAGTGTCCTTCCTCAAAGGTTTTAAATCTTGATTATGCACTTTTAAGGCTTTAAGAACAATTCAGTGACTAAGGAATTCCGCTTATCTGATAACACTTGGCTTCCTTTCACTGGGGCTTGCAGTTAGGTCAGGATAAAAAAGAGTAGGCATTCCACGTGGAAGCAAATAGATAAAAAGGCATGATTGAAGCAAAAATGAGGAGGTTTTTCATAGAACAAGGAGGGATTCCCTTTGGAGAGGTGGGAGATCCAGAGGGAGCCGGATCGTGGAGACCTGACTCCAGAAGAATAAGTTTTGGTTTCTCTGTAGAAAGGAAACTTCTTTAGGAAACGAAGGACAAAATCAAAGTCCTATAGTATTTAAGGATGACTGGCTAACTTGACCATGTTTTATAGACAGAGGAGCCAGTTATTTGAAGAGAGAGGGTAACGGACATGGCTTAAATTCAGTCCCAGAGTGTGGTGGCATCCTTGGGACCGAGTTAGTGACTTCTGCAGAAGCCAGGAGTGTTCAGCCCAACACTGATCCATGCTTGACCTGTCTACCTGGCTTCTGCCTTTATGCCATTTATTAGAGCTATTTTAAGTCGAGAACTTGATGGCATTAATGTTGAAGAAGGAAAGGAGGAGCTAAGTAGAATGTTGTCGCCTGACCTAATTGCATCCTGAGCGCATTCTATACTCCTCTTTGTATCAGGTGGAAGAGAAAGTTGATCCATGGTGGTGGCGGTGGGCAGGGGCTCTCCATCAGTTAAAACCATGGACTTTACAGTCCCATGGATTTGGATTCAAATTCCAGGTCTTGCTTTATCCCACATTTACTAGTGTATGACCTGGCAAAGGCAATGGCTTCATGTTCTGTCCGTAAAATGGGAATAATACCTAGTTTCAGGTTGTGCTGAGGTTCAGTTGGAATAATGTATCCAAGGTGCTTTGAACAGCCTGGGTAATAGTACATGTGACACACGTGGTAGGTACTATGATCCTTGCAGATTCAATGGGATTGAATTTTCCTATTTTGCTGAAAGTGAAACCATTATTCAATTTGCCAAATTTAAATATGTTGTCTCTTTTTCGAAAAAAAAAAAAAATTAAGCTCGGAATGGCATTATGTCTGCCAATTTATTTGCTTTCTTTGCTGAGTCATACTTTTGCCTAATTAATGTCCCGTGTATTTTATATTCTGTTCAAGCTGAGTTGTCCCAAATCAAAGCAGAAATAATCTTTCTGCCTTCGACCTCCTCCCTTGACTACCAAGTCAGGACTCTCGTCAAGGAAGCAGCCTGCGTCATTTGGGAACGTTGGGGTTATGAATCCTTGAGATAATAATGGGTTCATTATTTCAGTCTCTCTGGTGTCTACACAAAGAGCTTCTAACGTGGACAGAATGCGCGGTGGGAGGTCGGAATTAGGTGGTGATTCTAATGGTATCTGCTAGTTCATAATGGTACATCATGGGTTGAATTGTGCTTTTCACTCTGCTCAGTCCTGACTTTCCTTCATCCCGTAGGTTT